CATATAGTTATGATATTCCTTTTATCTAACGAGTCTTCTTCCTTACATTCCTAAATGGATAGCCTAAATTCATTCCTCAAATGATAAAGTGAGTAGCCTTCTCTTTTTCTATCTTTTTCTTTGAGTCGCGGGCACGTTAAGTATTAAAACATCATCTTCTAGATTGCAAGCACAGCACGATTATGATATTGTTAGTGGCACACGGTATCGACCTGGTGGAGGCGTCTATGGGTGGGATCTAAAGCGAAAACTTGTTAGGTAGGAAAGAGACAATGGTCTGTAGTGCTATTATGAACATACTCTGTTCTCGTTAGTCGAGGCGCCAATTATCTCGCCACAATATTGCTCCGTCCTAAGTCATCTGATCTTACTGGAAGTTTCCGCTTATACAAAAAGGAAGTGCTTATGCATCTGATAAATGCCACGTTGGCGAAGGGATACGTATTTCAAATGGAGATGATTGTGCGAGCAAGGCAATTCAATTACTCTGTGGGTGAAGTTCCAATCACATTTGTCGACCGTGTATATGGAGAAAGCAAGATGGGAATGTCTGAAATTGTCCAGTATTTGCAAGGTGTATGGCGATTGTTCGTCACAATTTAGATAATAAACAAAAATATCATTTTATTCAAGCTTGCAAGATATAATATCATACTCTTGGCCTGCTAGAAATATTGGAAGGGTCACGGAGGCCGATAGGACTGGAGTTAATGCCGCTGCGTACCAATGCCAGGGTTTACGGGAGTTCACTACAATCCATACTATCGATATCAAATTGACGAAGATAACGTCTGAGCTAATGCTGGATTGTGCAGGATGAGCAAGAAACGTGGAGATTAGCTGCGGGAAGATATCCCAAATGGAAGATAATGTCGTCAGGCATTCGAACCACTGGTGTATATAGATAGCAAAATTGGCACTCGCCGCAGTCGTATAGAGTATCAGGGCCAAAGTGGATCCATGATCACGCTTTTCTGTTACCGAAGGTTTGCGAGCAGCAACAAGTGGAAGAATCAAAAGAGCGTGCATGACCAATAAATTAGGTAGGAAGTAACTTGTATGCGAAACGAACGGAGACATGATTACTGTCACACAGCCGCCAATTGCTGATAAGATCAAGAGATTGCCTAGTCTTTCCGAAAGATCAAAGTGAAACCTAGGCATGGTCCAAGCGATCCCAAAGAACAAAGCATATGCAAACGAAATAGCAACCAATTGCCCGAGAAGCATAAATGCCCACACGTAGCGTATACCACGTCGATCACCTTTTAAAAAGATTTACCTTAATGAACTATCTCCTCTTGCTTTCTTTTTTATTTACCCTCGATCGCCAAAAACGGCGTCCACACAGCGACGGTGAAGCTGCATAATTGATGGCTCCACAGCCATGGCCAAGATCCGAGACTAACTGTACGCCAAGCTTCTTCAAATAGAGTGCTATCATGTAACCAATGCGAGAGTTTGTTCCAGTTAGACAGCGCTACATGGCCGTTATGAATGTCCCATTGGTTGTAGCTATGTAGGAGAAATTTGATCATATAGGTCCATGTCGCGCCCAATGAAAGTAGAGCCAGTAAGAAAAAAATGTTTGCCACGATTTGCTTATGCTGCACTGCAACTCTAAGCACGTTTTCCACTCGCCAAAGTAAAGCGAAGATTATGGCAAAATAAGATGCCAGAATGCACACATCGAGAGGGTGATCCATGACTGAAAGGGAAGAAAGAGCACTCACGCGTGAGGGCCTATAAATCTCCGAAAGGCTAATGATTTTATTGTCCCCTCCTTCAAGATAGAACACAACGAACCACCCAGTAGCCTCTATTCCTCTTGCATACTATGAGTTTCCAAGCGGAAAAAGCACCTTCACATCCTTTAAACACTTGGTCATTGAAGATGATATCTTTTTCTTTGGTCATCATACCTGAGTATAGCGGAAATATATCCTTGGTATGAGGGCATTGTTCGATCGTATTTGTTCGTGAATACATGCTGCTATGAGTTCCAAGTCGAACTACGCAGTTAATAGACGTTCAATTGACAGAATTGCACAATCCCGTTGACAGGAATAACTACTAAATGTAAGTCGGGCACGCTAATTTAGCCGTAGAAGTCTCAATGGAACGTTGGCTTTCCCCATTAGTAACCAGAGATTGCCATGCCTATCATGATGGTAGCGTTCATTGTATATCGTACTATGACAGAAAATATTCATACTAACTTTGTCTGCTTTTGATTATACTTCGGCTGAGATTTGCTCACTGCAAAGACCATCGCTATTCATGCTAATTTACAGCTCTAGCATTTTTATTAAAGTTAATCGCAATCAGGAAGACTTATCAAAGGTTTAAAGAAAGCATGCATGTTTTCAGTGTGCAAAATGGCAAATCTATGTCAATTGCTAATTTTATTATGCTTAGGATAAATAGGATTCTGTCAAAATTATATGGATTCCTATCCAATTTTCCCAGCTCGGGTGGTTCGAAATATGAAGTAAATCAATCAACATGTCTTTTTAAAGGACTTTGATCTCACCGCTTTCTCTTGGATCTACAACCCATAACCACATTCATCAAACTATAACCATTAATATGACATACTGTATACATAAAAGCCGCCCAAAGCACTCGGTAGAAGAAAACAATGCATTTACCTACGTTAATTGCTTTTAACAGAAAACCTATCTGTAGACATAGGAGACAACACACAGAAAAATCATTTGGTAATCATTTATATTGGACTATGTTTCTCACGAAATCCACATATTTAGGATGATCAAGTATAGTTATTCTATTACATGAAAGCTACGTGCCTGGATGGACTTGTGCAGGACAGGATCAGCATCAACTGCTTGATATGGCAATCAGGTTCCTACCATAGGCCTTCATCGGCATTGCTATGGTATGAGGACCCATTAAGGCTATATTCAATGACCCATCATCTTTATGGACCTGGTAGCCTTGTTATTACCCTACGTACCATATACTGATGCTTGGAAGACACGCCCTTAATCCCTGGTATAAGGCAGGACCATCATCGTAAGGACAGTCACCGGGGAAATTCGCTGTTCTCATCCTGACAGAAAACGATTGAAACAACGAGCCTCTCTTTCTCGTTTCTTGCCACAACTATGAATGACGGTGTGTCTATTCTGGTAGCGGTGTTTTTGATCTTGATTGCGCTACGATGGATGCTGGGTAGGACAGAATGTATTTGAAATTGTAGAGAGATAACCCTATCAATAGGAGGTAATCAACCCTCGAATCCGCAATCTGGACAACGACGTTCGGCCGGGAGACGACAGCATCGTGTCACTCCCCAGATGGTTCGAGAATATAGACAGAAAATAACCGTTTGCTAACAGGGTTCTTAGATTGAAATGGTCCGGTCCATGTTTCCTGATATCCCTACACCTGCTATCGTAGCTGATTTGCAGCGAACAGGCTCGGTTGAGACGACAGTGGAAAATGCTCTTCGCGCAGGAGGTCTCCCCATGGTAGGCAGACAAGTAGACAAACCTTCTTTTTCGCAAAACTTCATTGTTAACTGCGACTCTGCTAGCCCGCTAATTACTCTAATGGCCCAGCTACGGACAACGGTGCTAATTCGGGATCGTCAACTGCAGTAAAGCCAGTAACACATACTAATTTGCTGCAACGATATGACTTGGACTCTCATTCTATTAATGGGGACCAACAAATAACTGAACCTCCGAAGGTATGGGAGGCCAGTCCCGATAAACGACAGGAGATGCTAAGGAAGCGCAAAGAATTTATGGTGCTGCAGGCACGGAAGTAAGTTGTGAGAGTACAGAGATGGCAAATCAGTACTGATCGCGGCTCGTGGGATGTAGAAAACTGGAGCAGCGCATGTTACTAGAAAAGCAACAAGGCGAAGGTGAAAAAGAGCAGTCTGTAACCGAGAATGGATCATCATTACCATCTGAAAAGAAAGCAGCAGATAATTTCGAAGAGATGTCTGTCGATGAATTAAATACCCTATCCGCCGAGCAACGACGCCGTCATATGCTTCAAGCATTTGATCGAAGGACTAATATTTCAGAAGAAGGACAATAATGGAAGTGATAGTTTAGCATCAAAAAAATAAAAACAAAGCAATAGTATATATCATTTTATGTTTTGATGCTTAAAACTTATGAAGGATCTTAATGAGATAAGCTTTCTATAACACTATAATGACTGACAGCAATTTCTCGATATTTTTTCTTGAATGGGATATTTACTTTCACTCCAAGACGTTTTTACTGACTGATAGACTGCTGATATTGATATTGATCTCAAAGGTATTTCTACTAAGTTGTTTCTAAGCTAAATACTGACATTAATTTTGATTTCTATCATTTTCAGATTAACTTTATTACTGAGAAGCAGAGCAGATTTCAATATTCATTTCTAGTTCTTTTTATATTCTTTTTTACAATGATTGCTTTTGACAAAAAGTTGTACCTTTAAAATAATAAGAATAAAACGAAAAAGTTCAGATGCGTCTTAACCGGTAACGAATGTTGCAGGACTTTATTATACTGAGACGAAAAATTGCATCTCGAATTAGATTGGTTGTGTAAATGTGCTTACATCATTTTAAAATCTTGTTATGCTTTATACTGTCGAAGTTGCCATCTTAACATAACCTTTTCCAACAGTTAAAGTAAATCCTTATATTAGACTTTTGTTATTGCTTAAATAGTTAATAAAGAAAAAGAGTCTTGTAATTAAAATATAAAAATGTAGTATATTTTCATTTATTTATTAGCAGTAATATAGTTATTATTAATATAAACACCCTATTAATACTTATTTTTTATATTTTGTTTTCAGTTTTTTAGGCTATTACTTGATTAGTAGCTTAACTTTTAACATTTACTACTGATATCATATTATGTACAATATTTTTATTAGGTTCGTGTTTAATAAACGTCGATTTTCCAACGTGCCGGCTCGTAATTACTATGAAAAGACCCTAGAAACAGCAAATTGGGCTAGCGACTGTAGTACATGGGTAGTATCCAGGCTTCCCAAGCCTGGGAACCGGGTTCGAGTCCCGGCAGTCGCATTAATTTTCTCTTTTGTTCACTAACCGAATGTCTTTTTTTTTGTTTTTCCAGCACGTTATAATCCCATTTGCGATGATGTTCGATCTAAAAGGGTTTTGCTGTTCCGTTCGTCAGTTGCAGTCGTACAGACTAAGCGTTTGAAAATAGTGTTTAAGAAGGGAAAGGACAATGAAAGGAGAGAAAAAGCCGAAAAACTTTTCCTGTTAATCAAATTTCGATAACAGTCACTGGCTTTTCTTTCCAAGGAAGTTTGCGCCGCCCGAAAATCCTTTGCTGTGGGTGTTCTATACCCCTAAGACGATCAAAATAAGGTTTCGCATATTGAATGTTTTATAGTGCACTAAATGAACAGATGAAATACAAGACAACATGGCCTTATGTGAATGCATGGCGTATGGAAGGAAGACAACATTTTTGAATTAAAGCTAAAGAGGACATACTTCTAGCCATTACATATTTTAAATATTAGGCATATGTCATTATCTATTAGGCACGTTACTAGAGATTTAGCAGCGTAACTCTAATTCAAATTTGTAGTCTGCGTTCTATGTATTGTATGTATATTAGCAATGTTAATGAATACTTGAATGGCTGTTAAATTCTGTCAGGCTTGACTGGTGCCAAGCTATACCGGGAAACGCCTGCATCTGGCTTGCCTGCTGGTTCAAGGTCATAGTCTTCGGTAGTATTGTTGATTACGGAAATCGAAAGTGCAGGCGTGTAAGAAGTAACGGTTGGTTTCAATATTCCATCCCTGTCGAATGTTCTGTTCTTTTCAACGTCCTTGATGTGCTTGCTTTCTCCATTGTTTTCTCCAGCCTCCTTATCGATCGTAGTTGTTTCATCCATGTTATAATACTGTTCTTTTGTAATGTCTGCACCCGAGTGTTCGGATGAACAGTCTTTATCTTTGGTAGCATTTGCACTTCGTTTCCTTCTTATCCATAAGAAGACCGCCACAGCAATAGCAATCATCTGAACAATATTGGTAAGAACGGGTTAGCATGAGTAAGAGATGACTTACTCCAACAACAGCGCCAACTATAATACCAGCAATTGCTCCACCTGATAACCCGCTGTTAATGGTAGGTACTTCTGGCGTGGCAGTGGATGCATTGGCTGGCGGATCTAGATATTGATCGTTTGCACTGTACATTGGCACCCATCGGAGTTTTTGGAGATCCATAACATGAAAATCCCCTCTTTCGTTGCCCTGGTTATCCGTTCCAAAGAAGACAAACATTGACCGATTGCCATGTACAACAGCTAATGGATAATAGTTAGCTATCTCCTTCCAAACAGCTTTTCTACCATACCAGAATGGCCAAATCGAGGACCAGCTCCTGCTAAAGTTCCGAGATCAGTTATCTTTTTCCAAGTCATGGTTGTCAGATTGAGTAAATAACAGAAGTCATCCACTGTAGTAGTGGGATTGCCAAGGGCTTGTGTACTTTGTACTAATTTGGCTAGTGTTTAGAAATAAATCTGTAAGATCATAATTACGAGAATTTTACCATATTGTGCTCCTCCATAAAGTAATATAGCGTCCGAAGTAGGGACTAAAGAAAGGAGAAGTGAGAAAGATATTTTCCTGGTAAAGCGGCAACGTACGCTGAACGGCAGTATGATAGACTCTGCCAGACGGAATATCACCATATGCATTAGCCACTGACCAAGAAGCGGTTGAGGTATCGAACGTAAGGATCTGGCTCATCAACGCAGGATGGACAAGGTATGGGTCGGTTCCATTTGGGCCTTTGTTTGGATTTGGCGTTGCGTCAATACCGCCAATGTAGTATATCTTCTTTTGATCCCTGGATGCGGTGGCAGTGCCTTGCATACGAAGTATATCTTGTGGAACTTGGCGTGCATTTACGACGTCGGGCCCAGATTGGAACTGCATAATTCGTCCTATTTGTTATGAAACAAAGTCTGAATTTGTAAAGTAGCTGATTTACCGTGGTATTCAAGTGCCAGATCCACTGACGAATAGAAGCAGGTTGGGGGTTCCCCACCCATGAGTTGCTGGATGTGTAAGTTTTGATAAGGGGGAAGCCGTGTAGTTTACCTCATGCCACCCCAGATCCAAATACGCTCTTGATCATCCATAGCAGCCATGGCACCAATTCTATTCAGTTCAAAGACGCATTAGTGCTGGTATGTCGAAGATATGTTATTACACTTGGTAAAGATTCGTTTCCACTCTTGTCCAAGTATCGGTGTCTGCATTGTAGGTTGTAATTTCATCCCTAAGATTTCGCGTATTATTCGGACCCAGACCCATATACATTAGATAACCATTGAACTGGCGTAATGGCACCATAGGAAACAAGCAGTTTGGCTGAAGCTCGTAATTACGCCCTGGAATATTTACCCAGCTGGTGTAAGCATCGATAACATTAAAATCGTTGGATACATCGAGGGAATAGTGGTCTGCTAGGGAAGCATAGTGATCGCCATCGGTCTTGGTTCGACCGCCGTAACAATATATTTTTTGTTTTAGAAGTACACAACCTAAAAGCTTAGTCAGGAAATTGTCTTATCTGCTCAAAGTGGGGAAACTACCTCCATTAAGTCTGCGTGAAACTGTTACAGCTGTGACAGAGGATACGACGAGTCCTAGTAGGAAAAATATTTTCATACCCAGCACTTAAAAATGAAGAGCAAAAGAAAAGACGATAAAAACGATCAACAAGAATCCAGATATATACGTCTTCTTTAGGTAGTTGCGCCGCTTTGGTAACGCAAAAGAACAACCATTCTTTTTTTTTTTTTTTTTTTTTTTGTATTTTGATGACTTTAAGAACAACCATTCTGTCCATAAAAACTTTATTTCTGCCACAGCCCAAGCGTTTGTTGAAGACAGTAATACAGCAAAAAAGTATACTATAGAAATAACGGCTTGTCCTACAGTGGTTGCTAAATCTACAGAGCTTCATACTTTGGCTGCAGCTTTCAAGGAAAATGCGATTCTCTGGAAGAACCCATTTGAAACGCTGCAGGTATCATCACCATCCACTTGGCAAGATTTGAGTGTGATGTTACCTACAAAATTCTCCGACGTCCGACAATCTGTAACTGGAGGTTAAAATTTGCTACTCTGACATTACACAAGGAGGCTACTGAATCAATAAAAGGAAATCAAACCATGTATTACCTTCCACAAAATGCTTGATCGCCGCTTTCGAACATACTTACCAAGAGATGAAATCATTATGTAAGTTCCCTTTCCGAATCAGTTAAAATTTTTAACGAAATATATCGCGTCTATACTTTGGAATTGTAAGGAATTATAGAGGAAACAGCAAAGGTCTATCGCATTTAGGTATAGCAACTTTCCTATAGGACAAACTGCAGATCGGAACAAGGATTTGTTGATCTTAAACTTATGGTTAAAAGAACGCTAAAGTGCATGTCGTACGCTTTCCTGGATACCATCTACATAGAGCTACAAAAATTCATGCAAGGATATGGAATAGTTATCTGCTCGTCTCTCCTACAATTCTACAGAACTTCTTCCCTATCCGACAGCTTCCACCATGGTGAGTACAAGATTCGGTGAGATAATTTGTCATTGATTAATTTTTTTATTCTATGTTTTATCCAACCTATGTTTATATTCCTTCTTACGGACCCCGTATTATCCTTGGGATTCGCAAGAAAAACTGATGTTTTCCCAGTGAGATATCCTAATTTGTATTGAAGGATAACTCCATGAAGGTCATTTGAGGAACAAGCCTCGGTCACTTAAGCATGACGCAGAAGCCGTTAGGATTACAAGCGTATCTCGCCTATCGACAATCCAGACCTAATCAGCTTCTAGACTTCAAGAAGAAAAATCCTACCACTACTTGTACCAGTTTCCTATCAAGCTATATCCAATAGCAGTACTAACCAACAGAATGTGCAAGAAGTTGTGATATAAAAATGCCAATTACTGGTCGAGCTACCACTACGGAGCTAATCCATTTGTCTAACCTACTGGTTGAAATCCTGCAGTTGAGTTTTTGGGATTGATAGATTTGGATAGACGAAACGAGATATTCCTTACTTTTGGCTGAAGAAATTCTTATTGATGCAGCCCTAGCGCTCACACATTGTCAAGCAATACATGTGAAGTCTCTGCACACTGTGACTACTGTATTCAAATCTTCAGAGAGTAAAAAGTTGGATGGATCTGAGCACACTTTCTCAGCCTATTTTAGTTCCTCATTCTTTCCGTTGTATCCTACTTCCCACATGACCACCATCGCGACAAATGCAGTTTCCGGACCACCGGTATCTGCTGCAGTAACACCTAGAAAACCACCATCCGTAGAAAATGGTCAAACTCAACACAAACCGAACGAAAATGTCCACTTCTCGCACACAGCAGCAAACGGACGTCAAGACGTATTAGCGTTAAAGCAACAACTTGCTGACGCTCTCGGAGAAAACGGGCCATTATACTGGGATGCCTTGAGAGATTTTGTTATGGGAAGACTTAACCGCCAGGAGTTTGACTTTTATGCCAACCTCTACCTAAGTCGTCAGCACGGTTAGTGAATAAAAGAAAAGCAACCGCAAGAACTTGAACTGTCTCGCTTAGCCCATTTACACAACGCCTTTATATTAAGTACTATTCATAATGCCCAGTCAGCCACCCCTCCGCCATCTAAGCAGCGCGCAGTCGGCTGGGCAAAGCGGAAAAGAGGCAAAGACGGGACAATGGAGTTGGATCAGGATCAAGATCCGCGAAAGAAGAAGCTAAAGTTGAATGTCATGTCATTACCCAAGGCAGAACGCGATCGGCTAAAGACCTTGACCAAGGTAAGTTGAAAAGCCATTCTCCACCCTGTTGGCTCACATTATTATAGACAAACGACAAAGCAAGATTACGACCTTTTGTCGATCATCTCCTTGGTCCGCGTGTTAGCAGAAAGCCAATATTACCTGTTCCCACTGATCAGCTGCATCCGAGTAATTATCTATCCTTAAGGTGATTCATGGTGTGGATATC